GAATACTAGTTTATTTATATTCGGCGAATTTAATCGGGTTCATAATTTTTTTATTTAAATTCTTGATGAGTTCTATCTTCTCTTGTAAATTCGTCTGAAATTCTTCAACATCTTGAAGAATCTGCACACACACACACACACGATCAATTTGAAGCCCCCAGAGATGAATGTGAATCGATATGAACTTTCGTGTTCTTCATTAATCTTATCATCCAATCAATATTTTTTGTTCTCCATTCATGTTATTTATATTACTCGCTATTCATGTTGTTGTGCATCCGTGATATATAATCTATGGCTACGAATAATTATTGGATGTGTGTTTGTGGATGTTGAACTTGATTATTAATTGATATTGTTCTTTTATACTTAAGTAGCACATTTCATATGAAAACAGGATTTTTCGTATCGTTAGTGATGTGATTCTGGGTTTGCATCTTTAAAAAGCACATTATGTGTTCGATGAAATGTCTTAACCAAGACAGTTTATCTGATTAGGCATATAATCTTGTTTGTGCTTGTTGTAAATGATATGGACAACATTCTCGAAGTTTGAGGTTCTATACTTGATAGAATTCAGGTTCTATACTTGATAGAAATCATGCTCATGTTTGACGCCATGATGTCTGGACAGATTTATTTTGAAGTGTTGCACGACTATATTAATGAGTTTTATTGCAGAAATAAATCATGCTTGATCCCAATTTTTTTAGTGTTGAGTAATGTGCATAGTTTTATCTGAGTATGTTTGATGTTAACAATATATAAAATGCAAAATATCTCATATTTGAAATTCTGTTTGTTCAAATATCATTTTTTGTTATGCAAAATATCTTATATTTGAAATTTTGTTTGTTCAAATCCATCATATTTGTTTTTGCTGGACTTTTACTTACAGGAAGTTCAAATGCATTGTTTTGAATCCTATACGTTGTGCTAATATTTACAAATCACTTTATGTGTTTATTATATTCAATTCAGCCACTGTTGAACTCCTAAGGCTAACAAATAGATGTTTCCAAAGTGTGAGATAAGGTTCTGCATTAAATTTGCAATTGAAATGAATGTTATGAATACCATCAGTATGTCGTTGAAATAAATAAACAAATTCCCTTACGAGTTATTTACAACAATTTCTACTACATTTATGTTCGTTCAATTTTGGTCCCTTCTTCATTGATCATGACTTCCAACTTGGCCAATGTCTTCAAGTCCCTTATCCTGACTTTCAACTGGATCAATGTCTTTGTCAACAAAAGACTGTGACTGCTAGGTACTCATTTTTTTTTATTGACAAGTGGTTGTCGTATGTCCGAGTTCTCTGTAATTACAATGATGTCGTTAGCATTTCATTTACTTAAAATACTCAGTTTTATTTTTTTATTTTTTTATTTCATGTATAGTAAAAAAATAAGTGGTACCCGTATGATTTGCATCTTTGTCCCTAAGGCTAACAAATAGATGTTTCCAAAGTGTGAGATAAGGTTCCGTATCAAATTTGCAATTGAAATGAATGTTATGAATACCATCAGTATGTCGTTGAAATAAATAAACAAATTCCCTTCCGAGTTATTTACAACAATTTCTACTACATTTATGTTCGTTCAGTTTTGGTCCCTTCTTCATTGATCATGACTTCCAACTTAGTTAATGTCTTCAAGTCCCTTATCCTGACTTTCAACTGGATCAATGTCTTTGTCAACAAAAGACTGTGACGGCTAGGTACTCATTTTTTTTTTTTTATTGACAAGTGGTTGTCGTATGTCCGAGTTCTCTGTAATTACAATGATGTCGTTAGCATTTCATTTACTTAAAATACTCAGTTTTATTTTTTTATTTTTTTATTTCATGTATAGTAAGAAAATAAGTGGTACCCGTATGATTTGCATCTTTGTCTTTGTGCTGGCAGTGCGCCTCCAGATCTAGCCCTACGTGGGTCTCCTGTCTTGTCATTGTTTTTCGACCCTCTTGCAGGATCCTTAATAACTTGTGATCCAAATGTGAAATCATTAGTTGAGGTTCCGGTGTTGGCTTCTTCTGTATTCTCTAGGTTGTCAACTGCACGTCGAACTTTCTTGACATAATTTTACATGTCGACTTCGTTATGAGACTCCTTGGAACACATGTCAGCTGCTTCTTTAAAGAGGAAAAAATTCCTTTTACGTTGGGGATCAACAGAAGCAGGTATCAAGTGAAATGTTTCTCTCAAATTTTTTCTTGCAAAGGTCATCCACCTATGATTTATGCATTGTGCTGGAACATTATGAACATGCAGGTACTTGAATGTAGTAAACAGATGACTACATGGCATGCCATCTGTTTGCAACATTTTGCAATCACATATAAACTTGCCTTCATTTATATTTATTAGCACCGACCTCTGTATCTCTGTCTAATCCCTTTTATAATCTTTCAGTTTCTACCCCCAACACTGATACAGGTGAGCGGCGTACCTAGCCTGTCACACTACGGACTTATCGTTCTTGCCAAATTTCTGCTGCATTTCGTAATAATCTTCCCAAGAAGCTTCTTACTCAGGTCAGTAAAGTCAGAAGTATTGGCGAAGCGAAGGTGCTGCTAGCTAAGCTAACGGGTAAGAAATAGCCCTATCAAGGGTGAACCATATTTTCCCATTTTGTAGACATTTGATCCCCCATCATCACTCTTCTTCTCAAGTACAAGATTGTTTTTCTCATCATCAATCTCCCTTCGAACTTCTACAAAAATTAAGCGTGCATAAACTCTAGCTAGTTGTACATGAATACCGTGAAGTGGTGTTGCTTGGGGGATATCTGTTAGGTTCATTTCCAAATCTTCTTGCTTCTCAAAAAGGTTGACTTCAATGACTGAACAATCCGATGGAAAGTTTTAATGAGCTCTGTTATTGTGCTACTCGATTTACCCCCATGCTTGAAGAGGGCGTTCAAAGATTCCGCTCGTTGTGTCGTTCTAGTCTTCCCCATAAAATTCCCTCGCAGATAAGCGTCACACCATGATGTCTCTTTTTATACGTCTCTTTAACCCACTGGTTATCCGCCACACCATGTTTTACTGTTTGTAATTCCCATTCGGTTTCAAACTCCTCTGGAGTCCAAGTTTTCATTAGAATTCTCCCAAAAATTTTGCAAAATTCGTGCACCTTCACTCGATGTACACAGTTTCTCTCCAGATGCCATGCACATAGCCTATGTTTAGCTTGCTGTAAGACCTTCTTTATTGCCGAACGCATTGCCTCATCTTGATCTGTGACGACGGTGACCGGCGGCTTGCCTTTCATTGCAGCTATAAATTTAGTGAGCAACCATACGTATGATTCTGATGTCTCATTCTGCAGCAACGCCCCACCAAAAATTGTGCTATTTAGGTGAGTATCTATTCCAGAAAAAAAAAATGACCAAAGGGAATTTGTAGGTGTTAGTCTTGTACGTGCTATCAAAGATGAGAACGCCACCAAATTGTGAATATGACGACTGGGAAAAACCATCGGACCAAAAAAGTTTGGTCAATCCTCCTTCGTCATCACATGTCGTCTCCACTATCAAATGCTTATCATTGATCCTCACTCCTTCAAGCATAGCAAGTGCAGTCTGAAAATCACCTGCTCGCATTGTATAATTTCTGGTCTTCATCAGGTAGTTGTATGCATTTTTCTTCATTTTGCAATGTAGACCAACTCCAGACATTTCTTGAATATAATTTAAAGTTTGATATGTTCGAATGCCGGCATCATTCATTGTCGTCAACAATATTTTTTCAGACTCCGTTATTTATCTACAACCGAAACTACAATTGTTTTATTTATTTCTTTGAAAGCCAATATAATATTATATATATATATGTATATATATAATTATGCGCAATGTAATTGTCTAAAAAAATTTACCTATTTGACTTAAGACGATGTGCTGTTTCGGCACTCTCCAATGGTTGATTGTGTGAATCTTCAAATTTGTGACTTTGTACAATTCCCCTTCAATCGCGACATGAAATGTAGCCGTGCAACCACATCTCGTGTTTGGGATTTTCTTTTTTATTTTCTGTATTTCCGTATTTTTGCGTTGTAACCTGCTCTAGAAAATTCCCATTGTCTGTTCTTCACTACACCTTCCTTGGAAGTTTTGCAGCTTGATCTTCGGACATCGAATCCCTTATTTCTTGCATGATTTACGTACTATTTTTCTGCATCTTCCCATGAAATGAACGACATATTCCGCAGTTTGTCATTGAAATGATTTTCCTCGGCATCTTGCGTTTCATGTTTTTCCATTGTTTTTTATCTTCTTCAGACTGAATAGATGCGTATTGATCGTAGACAAATATTAAGTGTTCTTGTATTTCTCGTCTGAGGACATTCTTCAATGCGTAGGGTTTTATTGTTTGGTATTCCAACTTTCCTTTTACAATTTATTTTAAGCTAATTAATTAGCTGAAGTGTCGCTGTTATCAATTTTATTAATATTTAAATACAAAATCGAAAATTTAAGATGAATTATGGACGTGGCTTAGTGGTTTAAAAATGTTAGTTATGTATTGACATGTTATGATAAGATTTGGAATCCCAATTATTCCGTGACAACCAATTATTTCAATTATTTCGTGAAAACTAATTATTTCTTAATGTGATTATATTAATTAGATGAAAATAAAATTAGTTGAAAAATATAAAACAAGTCCAATCGTATATGGATTCTTAACGATTGAATAGAATTTTCGCCCACAACACTATTGATTAATATTACATTATTTTGATTTAGACCACATTTAAAAATTTGCCATGACCAATTCTGCACTTTCTGATTATGGAGAAAATCGATGAAATTTGCAACAAACTAGGCCATAAATATGCTATGAGCATAATAGAATTTTCATTAATAATATAATCCAAGTACAAATAACTAGGTCATAAAATCATGTCGACCATTATAAAGTGGTCGCTCTCCCCTGGCACGAGGGGATTTTATTGATCCAAGTTTATCAAAAAACATTACACCAAACATGCATTAACCGATACATCGGAAGACAATCGTCTCTTCATCCCCTATTCCATTGTCATGCAAGAAGGCCCGCCAATCATTCACGAAAATGACACTGCCCAGACTGACAACAGCGAACAATAGGGATGCAAACGAGCCGAGCCGAATCGAGCATTGGGCTTATCGAGCAGGATTGATTTTTTTTTAGCTGCTCGTCGAGCTTGATTTTTTAGGCTCGAGCTCGACTCGATAAAAATTTACAATAGCTCGAGTTCGGCTCGAGCTCGGCTCGAAATAAAAATGCTCAAGCTCGGCTCGAGTTCTGCTTGAAAATTTTTAAGTGGAAAGGTAAAATTACCATTAAGCACCTATGCTAATATATATAAGGGTTTAGTAATTTAACATGTATCTCGAGCCGCTCGACAAGGCAAAATATGGGCTCAAGCTCGTTCGTGCTCGAGCTCAACTCGAGTTCAGTCAAACTCAAGCTCGAGTCGAGCTTTGACTTGAGCGCTCAAGCCGCTCGGCTCGTTTGCAGCCCTAGCGAACACCTTCCACATGTCCCCATTACCGTTGTGCAGATAAAAAATTATATAATATGTAGAATAAAAGATCTCCAAATGTTGCAAGAAACTATAATCAAAGATAATTACAAAATAATAATAGATTACTGTGATTGGGTTCGGATGTATTGAATCTCGACTTTGAACGAGGGATCCATCTGCATAAGATGTTGATATTTTGGAGATCCGAACCGAATCATACGGGACCGAACGGAGATTTCGGAGGTCTGAAATTTGGGACAGTTTCAGAGATTTATAAACATCCAGAACGGACAGTATTGATCTTTTGTTCTAGTGAATGAAAATTGTTTTGAAAATAAAGTAAACAGTCGACTAGTCAAGTGCAACTATTAGATTAGTCAAGTGGTAGTGCACAAATTCTAAATGACATTTTGGATGTGATGACGGTACAACTCCGCCGCAACGTGGTATGATTATTCGAATCTATTGTGATTAGCCATAACTCGTGCAACCTATAGCAACATACACATACCTGTCATATCCAAAGTGTTACCAATCTACTCTAGTACTGGACTGCAATTATTCTATAATTGGAATATTCGAAATAACCATTTACTTAATGCAACATTTGAATTATGATTCAAATGTACTAAATAATGTCATTTTTATTACTTCATTAATATACATATAAAAGTTTTACCATATTTATATTAAAAAAATAAGTGGGAAATTTTTTCTTGTGCATTCAGCATTAATTGATTATACTTATTAATGCATTCAGCTTTATGTTCATTTTTATTATATTTATTTATTGTGTTGTTTTCCAAAGTATTGTAATATAATACTACATAACTAGTACGTAACCCGTGCGACGCACGGACTGTATACTTTTTTCGGAAACATAATGTAGTACCGGTGCGCAGTACGGTGGGATTATTTCCTCAAACCTTTTTGTCTAAACTTTATTTAATATTTGTGTTTGTAAATTAATGATTTGATTGTAATAGAAAAAAAATAGAGAGAAATACAAATTACAAAAAAAAAAAAAAAAAAATTCATATATTATTAAACACTTCTCTATACACAACATTATTGGTTTGATTTGCTTTCAAACCTTCTTCTCCACAAATTAAAATTTTAAGACCCTTTCTATTAGTAACACGGGAGAAAGCGACATATAACTGGCCATGACTAAAAACTGGTTTCTTCAAGAATAAGCCAACATGAGATAAGGATTGACCTTGACTCTTGTTTATAGTCATTGCATACGAAACCATAATGGGGAACTGCCTTCTTTGGAATTTGAATGGTACTCTAACATCCGAAGGAGTTATGGTCATTCGAGGTATCAAAACTTTATCACCTGCATGATCGCCAGTAAGAATCTTACACTCGAGAACATGATTGGAGAGTTTGGT